CAAACAGAGAGCGCGTGCCACGTTCGGGCGTGCAGTAGTGGTGAGTCACTAGCAGTGACAGTATGCACCGACGCAGTCCACACCGCGACCAACTTTGTGATTGAAGAGCGAAAGAGCGTAGAACGAACAACAAGAAGGTAAGGAAATGAGTTATCACACACTGAGCAAGATAGCACTACTCTATATCACTCTAGTGCATGCTTGTCGTGTACTATTAGATGTTTCATTTAAACAGTCATCACCTCTTTACAAGCTAAGTATCTGTATCTATTAGTCTTATACGACGACGTGACGTCCGAAAGTTACGCTCGAAAGCTCATTACGTTTATAGCTCTGCAGGAACTACAACATCTCTCAGTCACTACTCGCTCTTAACTGCCCAAATCCAACATACCTCCTACGCTTACATACTGTATAGAGCTGCTCTCCATGGGGAATTACGTCTCACTTGCAATTGCGACTGCTCTCTGACTGTATGAAGACAGAATAATGCTCTCTGTGCGCGATACCTGAACCACAGACCCACACTGTACACTGAAGACCCAGATGCGACACCACTCACTAGGTGATCTTGAGCTTAGTGATATGGAATAACTTCCTGCTGAACGACTTCTACAATATATAGGCATGGAGCCCAATTATGATCATCTGTTTATATCACTGATGTGTTTTCCACGCCCGTGTGCGTGATGTCACTGCCAGTATCCTCGTGCTTCCTCCCTCGCATCAGCGATTCTCTGCTCCTAGGAAGAGAGAGAGGCAGGTGCTGGAATCTCGTCGGCACGTCTCTACTAGCATCAATTACATGGCGTAGCTTCTTCAGATACCAGCCCTGTCAGATCCCGGACGTATCATACTGCTCGAAAATAGTGCGAATACACTACATCACAGGCCAGTACCTCGACAAACCAACATTCATCGAACAGACTAAGAGGAAAGCTGGGGGTTATAGCGGGATGTCAACAAACTCTTGAAGTGCGAAAGAGTAAGCTCGCTGGCTGGTTTCGTCAAATGGTGTCTTGGTAGGCACATATTTGTTAATATACTCATATCGAATAGGAAGAATAAATTGTAAATCAGATGGGAGTTAGTATAAGAGTAATACGCTCTTACTTTTAGCGTTTCTGTATAGTGTGATATTTGATTAAACAGTTTAATAAGTCTTTAATAAAAATATCTCTCTCATAGAATACTGAGTGGTTGTAGAGATGCGCTCCTTGGGAAGGTGTCGGGGGGGAGTGGACATGTGAGGCGGGTCCCCATATCTCCGTACGTTCTTCATTTTCACTCTTCTCCAGTTGATTACATGCAGTTTTGTGTGATCTCCGTACGTTGGTATACATCTCGGAGTCTAGATCGCCACTGATATTATTCGGCTCAGATGTTTAGGAATATTGCTCATTCTACGATCACGTTGTATACATCGTCCTCTCTGGTTTATGGCTCACTAGTATGTGATAGACGTATGATGCGTGACAGTGACGTTAGGTTTACATGCAGCAATTTGTAGGTTGCTCATTGGTGTTGTCAGTTATAAAGCTGAACAGAAGAGTATGTTGGAGCCGTGAGTTTTTGGAGGTCTGTGCGCCGTCTCTTCTCTCCATATTTTTAATTCGGGCTTATGCACTAGCTCTCAGACAACCACTGTTTCTATCTATAACATATAGTCGCATCACTGGGGAAAATTCATCTGGTGACTGTAATTGTTCACCTGAGGACTTAACAACTCGGCAATGGACTTTTTACGTAGCGCAAGAGAGTTATTCTGAAACCAAGTGTGAATAAGGAAACTCAGGAGATACGATTCCTCCAGCCCTTTTGTGTGTTGGTCTCGTATTTGTAAGAGAACAATGATAAATGATGTAAGCTCAGAAATGGTCATTCCCCCATTCGGCATAATATGTGTCTTTAGGGATGGGCGAGATTCCTCACTACCACCCAAAGCCTGCCACTTAACTTGTACAACACATGAGTGACATCAAATTATCAGTATCACTCTCTGTCTTTGGTTGCTTTGCGCCCTTCTGTCTGCTCTTCTCTACACATTTTGAATGTTGCAAACACAGTGCAGTTAATACTATTTACCATAAAGATCGATTGGAGCTATAAACTGTGGGACTGAGGTTCCACTGCCCAATACATAAAGGTCTCCTGTTTCATTATGAATAGTTGAGATATCCTCTTCTCGATTTCTCTCACACGATCTGGGATTAATTGTGGGTCCTATCCCGCCTCAGTTGTTCGTCCCGACATGTGCTATAGTCCCGTTAAGTGTTCACTCTTTAACCTGTTTTGCTGAGTTACTCCACAGAAACAGGAAATGGCTGTTATCCCTTTTTTCCATTATTCATTTAAACACAAAATCAAAAACTGAATAATACTAATCGTTATCTGTTTTTTCATTTTGATTTTGTAGACAATTAATAAAGAAGACAGTTGTTATTTTCATTTTCTTATTTTTGGTTTTACATTGAAAAACGAATGAACAAATGATGCACGGATTCTGGAATAGCCCGTCACTACTGAACTAAATGTAAAATGCAGCTATTAACTTGAAAACTACCACTCAAAATGCTCTGTTCACAAGCTGGGAACAGAGCATTTTGAGCTTTGGATAGTAATAATAAAAGGACTAATAATAACTCCAGTATGTTTTTGAGGAGGTAACAACATTATCACATGACTTAAAGCTCACAAGAGTCCATTTTGTGTAATAGAACCTTTAATCAGAGTCTTTAATACAATAGGGCGTGACTAACAATGTGGTTTTACTGGTAGGATTTGCCTGCATAAAAGATCCAATTATCACTCCTTTTACTTCGAGGACATATTTTCTGACCTATTTTAAACAACTTTCGCTTTGGTTACAGATGTTTACACTAGACAATCTAAGAACTACTCAGCTGCTTATACATTCATTTACACAGGCTCTTTCAGTTTAAAGGTGGATTGTGTAACATTTTGGTTGTTTCTGTGGATATGTCATTGCTTTAGCTGGAATATTCCACAGTATGACATTAAATAGCTCCACCTTGCATTCACTCAATTACAGGTGATTATAGAGCTCAAAAATACATTCTGACCGTGAGCGCGATCGCCTCTCCGCAGATTTGACTTGTAACTTGGTTTGGTTTGGTCTCCATGAAGATTGAAAGGTTTGCATTCCAGGCAAAGCAATAACATCTCCATGAAGAAAAGCATTTCACGTAAAGTTACACAATGCACCTTTAAACATAGATCACGCCAAATGGTTCTTAGATAGTTTAAACATAATTTTCTGCTTTTTCCATGTTTTTTTTTTTCCCACAACTAACTAAACTAAACAGAGTGTGTGAAAGCTGTCAGACCTATAGGCTTGTTGATAAATGGTTGTAATGGTGCAGGCATCTGAAACAGTATCTCTGCACCTTAAGGCTACGTAAACTCCAGGTATTGTCGTTAGTCACATTCCCATTGTAAACGGTTGGAAACACAGGTCAGCCTATACATAAAGTGTCTAAGAGATGTTTATATTATGCTCTAATTTGACGGTCTAAAAAAATATGAATATAAATTATGGTTTTACACCAATCAGGAAGCGATTTACAGTGGTTGCTAGGTAAAAGTTATGGAATCTCTTAATGAGATGTCATCATTTCTAATCAGGAAGTACAATTTTTAATCTAAAAAAGGTCAAAACTGGAATAAAAAGTGATTTTTTTTTTTTTTTTTTAAACAAAATCTTAAATTCTTACATGTGTTTTTGTTAAATGATTTTTGTTTGTAACTTCTCTAGTGGAGGGTTTAAGAATTAAACTTTTATAAAAATAAATATTTATTTCAGTGGAGACAAGCAGATGGCACAATTAGAGCAAGTTATAAGTCAGATCAATGGAGAGGCAAGCCCACTCAAAGAAAGCATAAGGTTTTCAAAAGTATTAAGGCTGTAAATAACATCTGTAAATTAAATAAATGCAAGATAGAGCCAAAGTAATAGCATCTCCATGAAGACAAGCAGGTACTATTAGGCCAAGTTATAGGTCAGATCAGTGGAGAGGCAAGCCCACTCAAAGAAAGCAGAAGGTTTAAGAAGGTATTATGGTTATAAAAAAAACATCTGTAAATTAAATAAACACAAGATAGATCTAAAGCAGTGGCATCTCCATGGACACAAGCAGTTAACAGCATATCCCCACTAGAAATGTTACATAGTGCACCTTAAAATAAAAAAATAAATAAAAAAAATAATCTTTACAAAGTCATTGTTTGGTGGGCATATTTCTTGTTTCATATGAGTCTGAATAAACAGTTCATTCCTTGAAAGAACATGCTGCAATATTGCGCAAAGTTGTGGACAGAATGGTCCTTAAATTTTGTATATTATATATCTAAAAATGAACTCTTGTGAGCTTTGATCTGTGTTATAATGTTGTTACCTCATCAAAAACATACCTGGAGTTTGTTTTGTTTCATTTACACGTTTGAGCAAACTTTTATTATTGGTCTGTCTACATCTCTAAAGCTCAAAACGCTCTGTTCCAACTTGTGATGTCATGTCGTAGTAGCTGTCAAGTTAACCGAAGAAATTGGCTGAAATCATTCAAATGATTCTAGTGAAGATGTGTGGAGTTTAGAAACACAGTGGAGCACTTCCTGTATTACCACATGACATCACAAGATGGAAAAGAGCTTTTTCAGTTTGAGAGAAGAACTCAGCCTAAATATGAAGGGTTTGTGAGTTAAATATGTGTGAATGAAACCAAACAAAACTCCAGGTATATTTTTGGTGAGGAAACATTATAACATAAACCAGAAAATAGCATAATATGGACCCTTTAAAGTATTTTTATTGCCCAGTTTAATGTCTATCAGTGTTAACATTTGTATTTGGCTACTTCTTTCTCTTGCAAAACATTTACTGAGCATTGTAAAGTATTTAGGTCACTGGTAATCCCCTGTGTATAACTTAATTGTTTGTAAAATTATTAATAACCAAAGCAAAAAGTACGTACAAATCTTACCTGATGTCTTGTGGCAGCCTCCAGAGTGCGTTGAGTTCCTCTTCTTAACACGGTGGGCTTGTTTCCTCAAATATATTCTCAAAATGCTTTTCCATCTTTCTCATTATGTCCAATTTCAATTCAGTTTTAGTAATAAAGACATAGCTCCTTCCTTCTTGTCCTTATCTGCTCTTGTGTGTTGAGTTCACCTGCTCCCCCTCTCGCTCTCTTACTCTTCCTCCGTCTCTCTGTCTCTTTCTGTCATTCGTCCGATCTTCCCTTTGCGTGTTCAGGAAATCACTGTTTGAAAATGCCTTTAGGAGATAGAAGATGACACACCCATGAATGAAACCGGAGCGCGCTAAGTTAGACAATAAAGACTTATCGGTAATACCACTTTATAAATAATGAGGAAGAAGAAGTAAATAAGAATAACAAGTAATAAAAATACATAGATTGTAAACATGCATTGTATATGTACTGTCTACTGGGCTTCAACGTCCTATATATTACGGAAAACTGACTCCTGTGAGCATTTAGCCATGTTCTAATGCTCTTACCTCATTCACAAACGTACCTGGAGTTGCGTTTTGTTTCATTCACACATGCTTGAGTAACCCTTTATTGTTAGTCTGTCTACACCTCCGAAGCTCAAAATGCTCTGTTCCAACTTGTCATGTCATGAAGCGGTAGTTTTCAAGTCACCTTTTACCTTTTTTTCAGTACAGACAGGCGATTCCAGTGAAGAAATTATTCAAATGATTCTAGCGAAGTGGCATGAAGTAAAATACACAGTGGAGCACTTCCTGTATTCCCACATTATACCAGAAGTGTTTTCTGTTTGAGAGAGGAACTAAAACTGTGTGTGTTAAACATTAATGAATTAAATAAAACACAACTTTGGGCATGTTTTTAATGAGAAAACAACATTGTATCATGTATCGAAAAATAGTGTAGTATAGGGGTGTGTAAAAATATCAAAATATGGTATCGCTTAATGTATGGAGTATTTTTTTGGTGTATTTTACTAAATTATTTTACTACAGAGCTACAGTTTTGCTGCTTGTTAAGAGGAAGGAAACTCATTTATGCAGCACATTTGACATTTTCACTGTTTTGATAATTAAAATGTTTGTGTTTCATATGAAATTTGCACAGGAAGTGATTTAACAGACTTAAAATATATCATATCAAATCGAAAGTATCAAGTATCAAGATATGTATTATATCATGTTCTATGTATCGAGGTCTGTATCGTATCGTGGCATGTGTAGTGAGGTATGTATCGTATCGTGTCATATGTATCATATCGTGTCCTATGTATCGAGGTATGTATCGTATCGTGGCCTACATATCGAGGTATGTATCGTATCGTGGCCTGTGTATTGAGGCATGTATCATATCGTGTCTTATGTATCGAGGTATGTATCGTATCGTGGCCTACATATCGAGGTATGTATCATATTGTGGCCTATGTATTGAGATATGTATTGTATCGTGGCCTATGCATTGAGGTATGTATCGTATCGTGTTCTATGTATCGAGGTATGTATCATACCGTGTCCTGTGTATCGAGGTATGTATCGTTTTGTGGCCAGTGTATCGAGGTATGTATTGTATCGTGTCTTGTGTACCGAGGTATGCATCGTATCATGTCCAATGTATCGAGGTATGTATTGTATCGTGGCCTATGTATCAAGGTATGTATCGTACCGTGGAATATGTATCGAAGTATGTATCGTATAGTGGCCTATGTATTGAGGTATGTATCGTGTCACGTCCTATGTATCGCATCGCGGCCTATGTATTGAGGTATGTATCGTATCGCGGCCTATGTATCGAGGTATGTATCGTATCGTATGTATTGAGGTATGTATCGTGTATGTATCGTATGTATCGTATCGCGGCCTATGTATCGAGGTATGTATCGTATCGCGGCCTATGTATCGAGGTATGTATCGTATCGTGGCCTATGTATTGAGGTATGTATTGTATCGTGGCCTATGTATCGAGGTATGTATCGTATCGGCAACTTCTTAATGATACCCAGCCCTAGTGTAGCATCAGTCTTCAACAATCCCTGGGGGTGTGATGCTAACTTGATGCATTCCTCTGTCTGAAACTGTTACTCATGTTAGATTTTTATCTGATCTTTGTTTTAATGCAATCTGACCAGAAAGAACTGACTTAGTTGGAACTATGACCTGTCAGCTGATTTGTGCTGTTAAACAAGTCTGTCTCAAATAATATTAGTCACAAGCTGGCTAGGATTAGTCAGCAGTTTTTCACTTAGTCACTCACGTTTTTGTTGAAAATCAAACTCCTAAACAGAACCATAAACACTCGTAATGATCACAGACTCCTGGAAATTTGGAGTTTAAATCTATTTATTTTATCTATTTTTTTCTTGAGATGTCAGGTAATCTTAAAACTTTTCGGTCTGTATTTGCAAATGTGTGTATTGTATCACCATGGTAACTTCTGAACATTCTACATTACACATACATGTAGGACACCCCCAGCGTCATGTCACCGCAAAGTATCAAGTTACATTTCTATTGCTGTTGGTGTTGAGTCTAAAGCAACTGTTGCTATTGTTAGTACACAGAAACTAATACTTTAGCAGTACTTTTGATTCTTGATACTTTATGCTCCTACAGTTATCAGCAATCATTCATTTTTGATTGTCAGTATAAATACTTGCTATAGCATGAGCAAAATAAAGTTAAAAAAAAATAATTCAATTTAACGTATATAGACAAATATCTTGTTTGAAAGTGCATAACAAGAACTACAACTGATAATTGATACTGATATTTTGTAGTGACATCACTGAGGGGGTGTTTTACATGCATCTAATGGTGGAGTGTTTAGGAGTTACCATGGTGACACAATGTACACATTAGCAAACACTGACAAAGAGTTTTAGGATTGCCTTGAAAACTGAAGAAAGAAAATACAAAGTAGATTTAAACAGCACATTTTCAAGAGCTTGTGATAAATATGGGAGTTCAAGGTTCGGTTTAGGTGTTTGATTTTCAACAAAAATGGTAAGAGTGTGAAAAACTGTGAGAGACTAGTTTAACAACACAAATCAACTCATCTGTTGTAGTTTCAAGTAAGGCTACGTTTATATGATGACAGTCTGAACAGAAGATGCAAAAGTGGCGTCGCGTCTTCTCCTATTATTCCGAGTTTAGACGAGCGCTTTTCGGGAGGAAATCTGCGTGCACACGTTGGCGCAAAAGTGTTTGGAATTCGTTTGGGTATGCATGCCATCTGATATCTTTGCTTCTGTGTACTGTATGTATGTGACCTAAACACGTACGCGACGTGAGCAGATCTGATCAGAGTTTTGCATCTTGAGCAGTGTAGACAGAAACGCTACGGCGGAGTGTATTCAACTTTTCCACTCCGGAGGGTGGTGTCAGATTTTTGCATTTTTAAGCCCCAAAAACACCGTCACCATCTAAACAAAAGGTATTTCCGATAAAATATTTAGTTGTTTTCTTGTGTAAACAGGCCCTGAGTCAGTTCTTAACGGTCAGATTGTGTCAAAATACAACATGGATTAAAGTCTCACAGAGCTTCAGACAGAGCAGTGCCTACAGTTAGCGTCAAACCCCAAGGGAATGTTGATGATCAGCTGCAACGTACCAACACCATAAATCTGTATCATCTATTTAGTTTTCATATGGTTTTATAATGTGTTGCTATTTGCACTACATGTCCTTCTATAGTCACATGTCTTGCTTCCTTTTCTGCTATAGCAACTAAACCATTACAATTGTTATCATTAAGTACTTCAAAAAGTATGTAATGTATAAATACTGTAGTAATGAGACTGATGATGATGATAATGACGAATTAAAACATTATACTATTAAGACTGACGCAAATCATTTCTGTCAGATCGTTTTATTCAAGGTAGATGAAGTACTGAAGTAAAAGTATCATATAAAACATAAAAAATAAAAAATAATCCTCGCAAAAGATATTGTGACATAGTATGTAAGTAGGCCTATTACTTTTTTGATTTTCTGCAGTAAATATCACCTTTAAGTAAGATTATGTCATTAATTAAACTCATTACTGTGACAAATGAGTTAAAATAAAAGAAAATCTTGGTGTTTTTTTTCCTCACAAGCCTGATAACACTTAGGAAATCTTATAAGCCCCTTTACCATCTGCAGGTTGAGTACAGATTTTGGAGTCTTGACCTTTCTGATTTTGACTCGGGGGCAACAGCTGGTGTCCAGGATGTTGGTCCAGACAGTTCCTGGATTCTCTGGGGTTTTACTAACACGGTGAGAGCATTTTTCTCTCTTTATGCGTCATCTTAAAGTCAAAACAAACACACGAATGACTTCAGGATTCTTGTGGTTAAAACCAGTCAGACATCTTCCCACATAAACAGACTTGGACTCTGGAATGACATGAGTACAATAGCGAAGTGAAAATGAACAAGACAGTCACCCTCAGGCAAAAAGTATTCAGTCTCGAGCGTCTGAGTGGAGTTGTATTTTATAAAATAACCACCAGAGGGCAGTAAAGACGTATCCATTGAGATTCATTGGAGAGGCAGTAAAAAGCAACAGTTCAGTGGAGCGGACAAAGCAGAGCAAAGTGACACAGCAGATTTGGGGAATACAAAACTCAGTATTTTGGGTCAGAATTATGAGCAAACTATTTCCAAATATGCTGTCACTGTCACACCATTAAAGGGCTCATGTTACACTATTTTCTGATCTATGTTATCATGTTTCCTTATCACAAACATACCTGGAGTTGTGTTTTGTTTCATTCACACATGTTTAACACAAAAACCCTGAGCTCTCTCAAACAGAAAACACTCTGGTCCACCTTGCAATGCCATGTGATGATACAGGGAGTGCTCCACTGTGTTTTTAAACTCCATACACCTTCACTAGAACCATTTGGATAATTTCAGTCCTGGAATTTTCAGCCTCTACTGAACAAAAGGTAAAATGTAGCTGCTGATTTGAAAACCACCACTTCATGACATCGCAAGGTGGAACAGAGCGTTTTGAGCTTTGGAGATGTAGACAGACAAATAATAAAGGGTTACTCAAACTTGTGTGAATGAATCAAAACACAACTCCAGGTATGTTTTTGACGAGGTAACCAGTGGCGGAGTTAACTATTTGGGGGCCCTAACGAACCTGAGTTTGGGGCCCTAACAAAAGTGCACAGTTTTGTTGTTGGCTTTTTTTTTTTTTTTTGTATTTTTAAAATATTTATTATCTGTTTTTCCCCATTGTTCTTGAGACAAACACATATCTATTTGAATTAGGGTGGATTGGAAACTTGTCTTATTAATTAGGTCACCTACTAAATAACCAGAGCTGAAAGTAGTTTTATTTTTTGCTAGTACAATTACATTTTTGTTTACATCCATTATATATGATTATGATTATGTTATGATTGTGTTCAAATCAGGGTCAAGATGACTAATCCATTCTAATGTGAAGGGGGGAAAGCTTTGACAGTGAAAATAGATTTGACAATCAGATACTATTTTGATTAATTCCATATTGAGAGAAAATCTAATTGCTCTAGGGCCTCGGTCATTAACGGTAATGACAAGGACAATTGTTTGGGGGCCCTCCAGGTTCAGGGACCTAAGTGG